CATGTTGTCTGTCTCTGACCTTGGGCTGGCCTGTCACCATGTGCCTGGTGCCACTTGGAAACTCCCAGACAGCCTTCCCCGCTGCTCCCTGCAGCCTTTCATTAGGCTGCAAAGCAGTTTAGCACCTTCTTTCTTTAAATGCCTCCTCTCACTTCTCAGGACCTTCTCATCGCTTATAAGGAAGGGATGCACTGAAGTGCTTTCCTGAACAGAAGCCCAACATGCCCAGAGTACAGGCCATAGCTGATGTTCTTGTTCTTTACTATATAATTTACAGTAACTATGTATTTTTTACCTTGTATAGACATGCCTGAATTTATGTGGCCATTTCTCTAATGTTGACATTTAGATTATTTTTAGTCTTTAATATATGGCATTGCTGCAGGGAATGTCTTTGTCCAGAGTATTTGTCCTTATCTCTAAATATTTCCTTCAGTTAGAGTCCTAACAGCAGACTAATAGGGTAGGGTTAACAGACAAAATACAGAATGCTGAGTCCAGTTTGAAGTCTAGATAAATAATGAATACTTTTTAATAAGTATATTTCATGCAGTTTGCTAACTCTGGCAACTCTGATCAGAGGTATTAGTCTCTTTAAGCCACTTTTCCAAACCACTTTTCAGAAAGATTTTACCCATTTATATTTTAATTGGCAGGGTTTGAGGTACAACCTGATCAACAAACACTAAGATTAAAAAAACAGCTTTGTACCAATTTCATAGGAAGAAATGTTCTCATTTTATCATTTTTGCATTTCTTTGCTTAGTAAGAAGACAAAACTTTTTTTTTTTCATTAGTTAATTACTATTCTTCTGTATGGTCTCCAAACTTGATGGCATTCCCTACCTGGAAAAAAAAAGTTCATTCTCTATATATACATACTCATATGTGGAGAATTGTTCTAATATATGTAAATTATAAAATATAGCCCCAAATAGAGATTTTTTTAAAGAATAGTTTAAAAATATAGCTCTAACATTTTCTCCCCACACACTTCAGAGATCATCTTGAGTCCTTTGGGTGTGCCCGCTGTAGTCTGATCTGGTAATAATAGTCTATACTTTTCCCCTCCCCCACCTGTTAGGAATTTAGTGCTTTTCTTATATTTAAATAACTTTTGACTAGTCTTTTTGCTTTGTGGCATTTCTTTTCCTGTGTTTTAAAATGTTGTTTATAGTGGTTTTTTTTTTTTTTGAGACAAAGACTTTAAGAGGATTGTAATTAATTTTATCAGTCTTGCCTGTTTGAATTTCTTCTTTTATTTCCAGAAAGGTCCTTCCCGACCTCAGATCAAATAATATTCACCTGTGTGCTCTCCCCAGCAGGTTTATAGTTTGATTTGTATCTTATGGTTAACTTGAATTCATCTGCAATCTTTCTGCTGTGTGGTTTGAAATATGGATCTAACTTTTCTAATTTACCTAAAATGATTCTTGAATATTTTTGATCCAAAGGCAGTCAGTGTGGTTGTTGGTTTTTGCAAGATGCATTGCAGAAAACAGCTTGCATTCAGATTTACAGGTCTGTCCTGGGGCTGTTTACAATGGTTGGGGAAATGCTTGCCTTGGAGAGATTTTTCTAAAAGTTGTTGCGTTCATAAATCTTCTGGAGTAATTATGGCCATCAGCAGCCTATGAATGGTGTACTTTTAGGCAGGTCAAAAGTTCATATAAACATTCCAAGTTACCAGGGCTGGATGTTAAGGTTTTGATTCTGGACAGAGGCAGCCTGTCTGTATTTTAGGTCTCGCAGACTTAAAGTCATCTTACAGTCTGGGTCCACACACATTCTAAAGCAGGTCTCATCCATATGGAAATCGAATCCAAAGCAGTGAACAAACCCACTGCTACTGTTTTAGGTTGATTTTAGATTGCCTTACATTGGTATTTGTAGTTAGAGGGCATTGCTATTCAAACTGTGGTCTATGGGCTAGCAGCTTTGGCATCCAGTAATATCTTGCCTTTAAGGAAAAATAATTTTAGACTACCCCCCACCCCCACTGAACCATTTCCAGGTGATTCATATTCACATTAAAGTTGGCAAAGCGCTGCTTTAAACCACAGAGACTCGAATTATTACCAAAAAAAAAAATCCCATGTAGCTTAGAATTGGAACTAAAAAGGTAGCTTGAAGGCTCAGGCAGACAAGAGCCTTCTCATTTTTCATTCATGGTCTCTGTGCGTCCTTGCGTGTTCTAACCCTAACCTGAACCCTAATCCCCTGTGTGTTCTCCTTGGTTGTGAACCTCCATTACTGCTTTGTTGTATGCTGGCCTGTGGGCCAACCTGGCCTTGTGACACCTCTGTTGAGATTTTTTCTCAGTAAAATGGTGTAAACTGTAA